AGGATCCCTCCCGCAGCGACCACAGGACACCACCGCCCTTTTGCGCTCCTGGAAGACGTCGTCGGGTCCTTTATCCTTACGAGGGTTTTCTTCGGGGATCTGTCTATCCTAGGATGTCGACGCCGCCCACCCCGACCGCCCCGAGATCCTCCGGGAGGTCGCAGGACTCACCGAAATCTGTAAGGATAGTGTTTATTTTTGTTATCTTAAAACAAAGAGTTAGGTTCGATCTCGTCTTTGAAGTCAGGCAGGACGTCCGTAGCTAAGGATGTCAGTCAGGATGTCTCCCGGATGAGGACTTTTGTCTTCCTCGGTTTCCTGGACTTGAAGGAGGGATTCCTAGAGGATTTAGGATACATATAGGCCTATCTCTCTCTGTTCATGGCGACCGCGAGAAAAGCGACAACTCAGGTCCAACATTTAGAAGGACGTAAGGGACATGTCCGTAGAAAAAGTCCTTTCTAGGTCGCCGGATGATGCGGTAGGACGGCGCTCAACCTTTCCAACCCGGTTTTGACCCTTTGCGCTGATGCCAGTACTCGATAAAAGGCCGAACTCCTACAGGTTTAGTCGTTTTTGCTCACGGTGAATTGGGTCTCGTCCTCTCCACTCGTTCCGCGTCTCAAAATCGAAAAATAAATCTTCCAAATCAATATTTAAAACAAAAAACAAAAAAAATTGAGATCACATAAATGCCCATTCCCTGTATTCTTTCAGTCTAATGTAGGCCTATGTCTACCTATGATGTGAAGAGAATTTGTGTTGATTTTATTCTTGCTCGCTTCATGTGAAATTTGCGTTTTTTTTCACCGTGTCCATATTATGACATCTGTTTGCGACCGTAGTAATTATAGTAATTATATCCGGTAAAAACAGTAATGCTTAGATATTGATTTTTGGACGAAATGACACGTAATGACATTGTCTTCCCAGAAGTTACCAGCGCTCCGACCACCGCTGAAATTCACCGAGGTAATTTTGATAGCAAGTTGTTAGTGAATACCACCGCTGTCTGCTTACCATGATTTCACCATCGTAAGTACGTTGGTACGTTGGTGATTCCTGGGTTACTCTGCAATACCTTGGGTTACTTTGCGTTACTTGCCGTTACTCTGATTTACTCAACCTTTTGTTATTTTTAGTTTCTCTGAGTTAGTTTGCTTATTTGAGTTAGTTTGAGTCATTCAGTGGAGACTGTACACTACGGCCGGCACGCACCACGAATATTCATTAACGCACACGCACGCACGCACGCACGCACGCACGCACACGCACGCACGCACGCACGCACGCACGCACGCACGCACGCACGCACGCACGCACGCACGCACACACGCACGCACGACACACACGCACACACGCACACACACACCACACACACACACACACACACACACACACACACACACACACACACACACACACACACACACACACACACACACACACACACACACGCACACACTGAAATAAATGCATATACATTAGCCTAGACATGCACATTTACCGGACAGATAGATAAATGTATATCTACCAGACATGTAGACCGATATGCAATTTCTTCTGTGTATGTCCATAACCGTATATGTGAATATTCATTGAGCTTCGCACAATCATTAACAAACTGGCCGATTGTCTTTGGTTGTGTGTATGTATGCGTGTGTGTGTTTTTCTGTGTGCGTGCGTTTGTCTGCATGCTGTATGTGTTTTCCATCATTTAGATTCCATCATGTATTAATATCAATTTAACGATACATGAGAAACAATACAAAACAGTGATCAGATGCATTTTATTTTGTCGCCATTTTATCAGTCATATATTTTTCTATTTACTTCTTTATTTTGTCATATTTCGGTTATTCCTCTTTCATCAGTGTATTTGTGTTTGTGTGTGTGTGTTTGTGTATGTGCGTGTGTGTGCATGTGTGTGTGAGTGTGTGTGTATGTGCGTGTATGTGTGTGCGTGTGTGTGTGTGTGTGTGTGTGTGTGTGTGTGTGTGTGTGTGTGTGTGTGTGTGTGTGTGTGTGTGTGTGTGTGTGTGTGTGTGTGTGTGTGTGTGTGTGTGTGTGTGTGTGCGCGCGCGTGTGTGTGCGGTTGTGTGCGTATGTGAATTTGTTTTTCTGCCTCGATTCACATCAATTCTTAAACCATACAAACAGCTTCCATTCGACAGTTGTGTTAAAAACCAACATCCTCTTTCTCTTCTCCTCTCATTTTCTTCCCTTTTCGTCTTGTTTTCGTCCATCGTCCTGTTTTCCTTCCAACCTCATAAACCTCATGCCACAGACAAGAATGAACTGGGTAGAACGTCACACCTAATACAACGTAATACTCTCAGGGCAATGCTGGGTCACGGTACCTTGGCCTCCCTCATGCCCCTCCTCCTCCTCCTCCTCCTCCTTTTATTCTCCTTCTTCTCCTCCTCCTTTTATTCTCCCTCTTCTCCTCCTCCTTTTATTCTCCCTCTTCTCCTCCTCCTTTTATTCTCCCTCGTCTCCTCCTTCTCTTCTTCTCCCTCTTCTCCTCTCCTTCTTCCTTATACCCCTCTTCTTCTCTCCTTTTCCCTCTCCCTCTTCTCTCATACCCTCCTCCTCCTCTCTCTCTCCCCGTCTTCCCCTTCACACCCCACCTTTCCCTCTCCCTCTCTCTCCCTCAAACCTCCATTCCTTTCCCTCTCCCTCCCTTCTTCTCCCACCTTATACCTATTAACCTCTCCCTCCCTCCCCTCCCCCCCTCTCCCTCTCCCCCTCATACCGTCACTCCTCTCCCTCCCTCCCTCTCCCCATCATACCCCCCACTCCTCTCCCTCCCTCCCTCCCTCTCCCTCTCTTCCTTCCCTCTCCCTCTCTACCATGTACAGTGCGTGCTCGGGAGACAGAGAGAGCGTGTGTGTGTGTTGTGTTCACAGGTACTTCTCTGTCAGATGTTTCGGCCACAGATATTTCGTTGTCTAATCTAGAACGAATTCCGGTATCTATGTGGGCGATTTCACCGTGAATTCGAACATACGGTGGAGTTAATATCTAGTTTTATTGTATTATTTTTGCCTTATTTAGAGCACGTGTAGAAAAGAATGAAAGAAAAAAATCTTAAACGTTTTGCTGAGTGTCAACTTCTCACAACTCGCGTGTTTTAACTTTTCGTCGATAGAATAACAGGTTATGTATGAATCCTGTAGATTATACCTGAACAAATTGATAAGCCCCAACCCCCCATATCTCCCTCTTACCCCCCTCCCCTCCCCCCACTTATATCTCGACTCTGACCTGCTGATAAGAGCTGATAAGAAGGCAGCAGTATCTTCTTCAATGGTTTTCTAGCTCGACTCGTGGTAAAAGATTCTGTCTGTGGCAAAAGCACGGTGGAAGTTGGGTTCGTGTCTGTGCTGTGAAGTTTCCTCGGGATCTGAAATGTGAAGTTCGAGACACAGGGAAAAAGTGTGGTATTAAGAGCAAACAGATAATTATCGGGAAGATAGAAAAAAATATTTAAGTGTCTGCGATAAATTCTGTTATCTGGAAACTTGAGTTGAAAATCCTCCCTTTTAGGCCCCTTTTCACTGATATTTCGACCGAGAATTTAATGACGAGAAAAAAGTGTTTCTGCTTATTTGGTATTTATCTTATTCTTACATAGTGACGTGTGATATTTTCCCTGTGAAGATAACAAAACATTTTATTTAAAGAATAAGAAAAAAACATTTTTGAAATGCGGAGAGATGATTTTTTGTTTATTTTCAAATTATGATTATTATTACTGTCATTCATTTGTGATTATTTCTCGCGCCGTTAAGAAATAGATAGACGAAAAATCCATCAATGACTAGTAATATAATCATCTTAAAATCCATAGGTGCTGGAGGAGAAATTTAGGAGAAAGAGAGAAAATGCAATAAAATAATACAAAAGCAACAACGAAAAAAAAAATCTCTCACTGCATCAGTTAAAGAGAAAGATAGATAGAAAGAAAAAGAAAAGAATAACAATAACAGCAGTAATGTGGAAAAAAAATATTGATGCGCCAGTCAAATTGAAAACAAAATAAGAAAAACAAGAGGAACTACAACACCAACCCCGTTATGAAACACACTGCCCAGCCAGAACACCAACCAACATAACCCACAACCACAGCACCCAAATGACAACATCTCAGCAACCACAAGCACCACAGTAACCACAACCCTACAACAAACAAACCACAACCACCACACAACCCACAACAAGATCCATAACAACCACAATCACCACCAACACAACACAACCACAACCACCAACTACCCACAATAACCACCACAACATACCACAATAACCCCCTCCCCTCCCTCCCTCCCTCCCCACCACAAAGCCCCAGGATGGTGAACACGGGCGCAGGAGGCGCTGCGGCCCGCGTCGAAGGAAGGAGGCATCCATATCCAGGACCCGCAGCAGCGTCTTCCGGAGGGCGCTCTCCACCGTGGGCATCGTCTCTAAGGGTATGGGGTGTCATGGGGCGTCGTTGGGGCATGGGGTATGTCGTATGTTGGGCGTCCATGGGGCATGTTGGGGTGTCATGGGGTACATGGGTATGTTGGGGGCATGTGGGTATGTTGGGGCGTCATGGGGGTATGTTGGGGTGTCATGGTTATGGGGCGTCATGGGGGTATGTTGGGCGTGGGGTATGTTGGGGCGTCATGGGGTATTGGGGATGTCATGGGGGTATGTGGGTATGTGGCGTTGGGTATGGGGCGTATGGGGGTGTGGGGTGTCATGGGTATGTTGGGGCGTATTGGTATGTTGGGGCGTCATGTATGTTGGGGGCATGTGGGTATGTTGGGGGCATGGGGGTATGTTGGGGGTATGTGGGTTGGGGCGTCGGGTGTATGTTGGGGTGTTATGGGGGTATGTTGGGGCATGTGGGGGGTGTTTGGGGGGTATGTTGGGGGCATGTGGGTATGTTGGGGCGTCATGGGGTGTCGTCATGGGGCATTGGTATGTTGGGGTGTCATGGGGTATGTTGGTATGGGCATGTGGGTATGTTGGGTCATGGGGATGTGGGGTGTATGGGTATGTTGGGGTCATTGGGGGTATGTTGGGCGTCATGGTATGGGGCGTCATGGGGTATGTTGGGGTGTCTGGGGTATGGGGCGTCATGGGGTAGGGCATGGGGCGTATGCATGGGTATGTTGGCATGTTATGTTGGGGCGTCATGGGGGTATGTTGGGCATGTGGGTATGTTGGGGCGTCATGGGGGTATGTTGGGGGTGTTATTGAGGTATGTCGGGGCATGTGGGGTATGTGGAATATTGGGGCGTCATGGGGGTATTGGGAATGTTGGGCGTCATGGCGTATGTTGGGGTGTTATATGGGGGCATGTGGAATGGGCGTCCCATGTGGGTGTTGGGGTGTTGTGGGGGTATGTTGAGGTCATGTGGATATACTGGAGTATTTGTCTGTTTATCTGTCTGTGTCTGCCTCTGTCTATCTGTCCATCTATCTATCTCTCTATATGAGAGTCTGTGCATGCGTGTGCGTACATGTAAGCGTTTGTGAGTATGCGTGCGTGTGTGTGGAGGCATGTATGTGTGCGCATAAACATACCCACGAGCGTCTGTTCCCACCCAGCCCCGTGTGCCGATCCTCTTTTGTTTCTGTCACGTATCGCGCCGCTTTTGTCGCATCGGATCGTTTGTGTTTATATTTTTGTGGTCAGGTAATCCCTTTAAGATGGAATTCAAATCCACTCGATGTTGGTATTAACGTCACGTGTTTTTTTAATATGATATTATTGTATTGGTTGCATATTGTTCTTTTTTTTAAACACGATCTATTAACAATATCAATTTAACACTGTCTATTTTTTTTTATATTATATTATTGTATTGGTTGCATATTGTTCATTTCTCTGTATTTTTTTTTTTTAAACACGATCTATTAACAATATCAATTTAACACTGTCTATTTCAACAGGATCTAATACTATTTTTCGCGCCGCTTTGGTCGCATCGGATCGTTTGTGTTTATATTTTTTGTGGTCACGTAATCCCTTAAGATGAAATTCAAATCTACTGGAAATACAGGGATTAAAGTGTCTGTAATCAACTAAAGAAGTTAATTCATGGTTAATATTATAATAATTTGATAATATTATATTTTTAATGACATAGATAATTCCTAAAATGGTTACCCCTCCCTCGAAAATAAAGACTAATTAAAATAAGGAATAATATCCATAAATTCCACATCAGTGACTCATTTTCTCCCATTGACTCAAAATCTTCAACTGGAAAAGTTTATCCGTCAAATATGTCAGAGATAAGATGATAACAGCGATTAGTCATTTTACAATCATTTCACAATCGAATTCTTTATCTGATTAATGTTAATTTTACCCTTAAAGTCCGTTGCGATATTAATGGGAGAAGCAGCTTCTCAATTTTATATTAGTATTACCTTTATTATTGTTATTCACTACTTCAACTACTGTTCTTATTGTTATTGTTATTATTATTTTCATTATCATTATTATTGTTGTTATCATTACTATTATCATTATTATCATTATCATCATTCATTACTATTATCATATTATCATTACTATTATCATATATTATCATTACTATTATCATTATTATTACTATTATTATTGTTGTTGTTGTTATTATTGTTACTGTTATTATCATTACCATTATTATTTTTATCTTCACTGTTATTATTATCATTATGATTAATATTATTATCATTATCATTGTTATTGTTATTATCATTGTTATCATTAATATCATCATCATCATTATCTTTATTATTGTTTGTTTATGCTCTGGCTGTTGGAACTACCGTCTTTACTCCTTTTAGGCGGGTCATAGCAATTTAAAAAGGTCTAACAGGAAATCTCTCTCCTACATCTCTAACACTTTCCTCAGGATCCTTGCAGCTCCTAACAAGGCGGTATTTTGTACAGCTCCGATATCGCCCGGTGTCCACAGTTATTCATTTCACTTGTTAGACCCTTTATCCTTTAAGGCCTTGTCACACTAGTACTTTTTTCCGTCAAATTTTTGACAATTTTATTTAACATAAATATAAACATTCTCGAATATAGCTCTTGATTTGGCTATGCTTGGCTGAAAAAGTTGACGGAAAGGTTTTCAGACGGAAACGATCATTATCGTCTGACTGGAGAATCGACAATTCACACAAAAATGGACAAATTTTCAGAAAAAAATTGCCGGAAAAAGTGCTAGTGTGACAGCACTTTTAGTCTCTCTTCCCGGGGCACCTCCAACCAGCTTCCTCAGTTGCCACAGTCTTCCATTTTCCCTCCGCAAGTCTTGTTGTTTCTCCACCTTTTCTCTTTCCTTTTTACGTACAATATCCACGATTTTACCACCCTTTTTTCCCCTCCGTATCAATAATAACAATGGTCTCCTTGTTTCTCTCACATCGTCGCTTTGTTTATATCCCACAGCAATTTTTTCGTCTGCATTTTCCGTCGCTCCTGGGTCATGTTCATTCCGTCTTTCCTTACGTTCTAATGCAATTTACACAGTTCCAGATGAATTTTCTTTGCTACTTTATCATGGCTTCTCTTAATTTCTCGCATTCACTCATTATGTGTTGCACGCTTTCTCCTCTCTTTCCGCATATTCTACAAAGGAAGTTATCAATTCTCTTATCAATGTGGTGTTTTACATAATGTGTTCTGATCGCCTGTTCCCGTGCAGCATATAACAACGTCTCGACCTCCAAATCCCTTCTGACTCGCCAATCCAATTTACGCTTCCGTCTCGACCTCCAAATCCCTTGTGACTCGCCAATCCAGGATTTGTCCTTAACTACCTCATCCGGCAATTCCTGTCCGTGAACTGTCCGTACATTCTCTTCTCTACGTTTTTGTTTGAGCTCCTGAGCCTCCTGTTTGAATTCATTATCATTATTACTCTTATTATTATTATTATTATTATTATTTATTATTATTATTATTATTATTATTATTATTATTATTATTATTATTATATTATTATTATATTATTATATATATTTATTATTATTATTATTATTATTATTATTATTATTATTATTATTATTATATTATTATTATTATTATTATTATTATTATCATTATTATTATTATTATTATTATTATTATTATTATATTTGTATTATTATTATTATTATCTTATTATATTATTATTATTATTATTATTATTATTATTATTATTATTATTATTATTATTATTATTATCATTATTATTGTAGATTATTATTGTTATTATTATATTATTATTATATTACATAATATTAATGATATCATATTATTATTATTATTGGTTATTATTATTGTTTATTGTTATTTATTATTATATTATTATTATTGTTATTGTTATTGTTATATATTGTTATTATTATATATTATCATATTATTATTATTATTATTAAATTTTTTTCCCTTTTTCCCCCTCAGAGGAGCGTCTGCTGGCGGCGTCTGACAGCGGCGAGGTGTCAGCCGTCAGCACCTTGCTCTCCGGCGGCGCTGACGTCAACTGGCAGAACGAGCAAGGGGAAAGCGCCCTTATGTATGCGGCTTGGCGGGGGCACGAGGCGGTGGCGGCCATTTTGTTGCAACATCCGGCAACTCACGTTAATCTGCAGGTGGGGATTTAAGGGGATTTGGGTATGTTTAAGGGAGGATTTAAGGGGATTTTGGGGACGTTTAGGGGGGTTAAGGGAATTTTGGGTCGTTTGGGGGGGATTTTAAGGGGATTTGGGGAACATTTAGGGAGGAGGGATTAAGAGAATTTTGGGACTTTTAGGTTAGGGGTTAGGGGTGGGTGGGGTGTGTTGGGATTTCTCAAATGCTGTTGTTTATTTTATTTATTATTATTATTATTTTTTATCTGTCTCTCTCTCTCTCTCTTTATTTTTCTTATTGTTCTGTTTTTCCTTCTCCTCATCTTCTTCCTCCTTCTCCTCCTCCTTATTATTATTATTATCCTTCTCCTTATTCTTCTTCTTCCTTCTCTACCTTCTCCTCTCCTGCTGTAAGCTAGCAACAGCATAGTAAACAATCGGTCTTATTTTTTTTTTTCATTTTACTTCTTCTATATCTTGTTTTTCATTTTTTTCTTTTCTTTACCTCTTTTTTTCTCCAGCTTTTTTTCCTTCTTTTTCTCCCTCCTCTTCGATTATTCTAATTACCACCTCTCCCCTCCCCTCCGCCTCCTGGCCCACTCCTCCCTCCCTCCACCGCGCCCTTCTCGCTCCTCCTCCGCCAGGACAGCGACGGGTGGACGGCGCTGATGTGGCGTCGCGGGGCGGGCACGCGGCGTGGCGGTCTTCATGGTGCACCCGGACACGGAGCCCGACCTGGCCAACGGCGCGGGCGAGACGGCGCTCATGAAGGCCGCCGTCTACGGCCACGAGGACGTCGTCAGGCAGCTGGTCGGCTCCTACAGGACCACGGTGGACAAGCGCCACCCCGACGGCTCCACGGCCCTGCTGTGGGCGGCCGCGGGCGGCGGGGCCAAGTGCGTGGCCGCCCTGCTGGACGCGGGCGCTAGCCTGGACACGCAGGACCAGGACGGCATGGACGCGCTCATGTGGGCGGTGTCGGTGGGGCAGGCCGAGGCCACGGAGCTGCTGGTGGCGCGCGGGGTCGACCTGGCCAGGAGGGACAAGATCGGGCGCTCGCCGCTGCTCATGGCCTCCGAGACGGGCCACGTGGAGGTGGCCAGCGCCCTCGTGCAGCACGACGCCACGGACCTCAACGCGCGCACCAAGGACCGCGTGACGCCGCTCATGCGCGCCGCCGAGCACGGCCACTCCGCCATCGTCAACATGCTGTGCAAGTGCCACGAGACGGACGTCAACCTGCAGGACAACCAGGGGCGCTCGGCGCTCATGTTCGCGGCGCGCGCGGGCCACGCCGACTGCGCCTACATCCTGCTGCACCACCCGAGCATCAAGCCCGACCTGGCCGACCTGGAGGGCCTCACGCCCGCCATGATGGCCGCCTTCACGGGCCACGAGGACGTCCTCGGCGCCATCCTGTCGCACCGCAAGGCCTCCCTCAGGCACCGCACGCGCACGGGCTTCACGGCGCTGCTCATGGCGGCGCGCAGCGGCCAGCGCTCCGTGATCGAGCGCCTGCTGGCGCACCCCGAGGTGGACATCAACGAGAGCGACGGCCAGGGGCTGACGGCGCTGGCGTGGGCGGCCAGGAACGGCTCCGCCCACGTCGTCGAGCTCCTGCAGCAGTACGAACTGCTGCAGCCCGACACGGCGGACGCCGACGGCCTCACGCCCCTCATGTGGGCGGCGCGCTGCAACCAGCTGCTGGCCGTCAAGACGCTCCTGCGCGACGCGCGCGGCGACACGGAGCGCAAGGACGCGCAGGGGCGCACGGCGCTCGCCTGGGCCAAGCAGCTCGAGAACAAGGAGATCGAGCAGCTGCTGACGCGCTACGCCCAGCTGACGACGGAGCTGTCTGACGACGCCGTGGACGACGCATCCTCCGACAGCTCCCTGCACACGCCGTCGCGGCTGCACCAGCGCTACAGCCACCCCGTCAGCGACATGCAAGTGGACAACATCGGCGACGTCGTCAAGCTGCTGGAGAACGGCCCCTACGTCAACTGGCGCCAGAAGACGGGCAAGACGTCGTTCGCGTGGGCGGTGGCCAGCGGGCAGCCCGACGTGGTCAAGGTGTTCCTGCTGGTGCCCGGCCTCGACGTCAACGAGCGCGACGAGCAGGGCCACACGCCGCTCATGGCCGCCGCCCGCAACGGCCACCCGGAGGTGCTGCGCCTCCTGCTCAGTCACGAGAACGTCGCCTACAACGCCGTGGACTGGCGCGGCCGCACGGCGCTCATGGTGGCGGCGGAGCACGGCCAGATCCGCGCGCTCGCCGTGCTCCTCCGCTGCTCCGACATCAGCGTCAACCAGCGCGACGTGCACGGCCACACCGCCCTCACCATCGCGGCCGCCGCGGGCATGGTCGAGGTCTCCAGCGCCCTGCTGCGCCACCCGTCCGTCGACGTCAACGTGCGCGCGGCCGGCGGCTGCACCGCCCTCATGCTCGCCGTCAGGGCGGGCAACAACGGCGTCGCCGAGATCCTCGTCAGCCACAAGGACACGGACGTCAACATGCCTGACGACGAGGGCGACACGCCCCTGCTGGTGGCGGCCGGCCATCAGGGCGCCGTGGAGGTCTCTCGCCGCCTGCTGCAGCACCCGCGGGTGGGCGTCAACCTGCGGGACCCCCAGGGCAGCACCGCCCTCATCCTGGCCGCCAAGAACGGCCACCTGGAGTGCGCCAAGCTGCTGATGGAGCACCCGCTGGTGGACGTCAACCTGCGCGACGACGAGGAGCGGACGGCGCTCATCTACGCGAGCATGCTGGGCCGCGAGGACGTGGTGCGCCTGCTCTTCTCGCACCCCGACGTGGACCCGAACCTGACGTGCCGCGAGAACGGCTACTCGTCGCTGCTGCTGGCGGCGCGCCACGACCACCCGCGCATCGTGGAGCTGCTGTGCGCGCGCAGGAACGTGCAGGTCAACAAGCCCGACGACTTCCGCACGAGCGCCCTCATGCACGCCGTGCGCCGCCACTCGCGGCCGGCCGTCGAGGCGCTGCTCGACCGCCCCGACATCGACATCAACCTGCCCGACGCCGAGGGCAAGACGCCGCTCATCCGCGCCCTCGCCGACGGATACTACGACCTGGCGATGCTCCTGCTGGCGCGGACGGACGTCGACGTCAACGCGCAGACGCTCGAGAACAAAACGGCGCTCATGTACGCCGCCACGTACCCGGAGGGGCTGCCGGCGCTGCGCCTCATGCTGGCCAACACCGCCATCGAGGTGGGCGCTCGCGGGGCTCCCATCCCGCCCTCGTTTTGTTTTCCCATTATTCATGTATCAACGTTTTCTATCGTTACTCGGGTTGACAATCAAGGAATGACATCATTCACCTCCCACTCCTTTGAGAACCCCCTTCGCCTCTCCTCCCATACTTACCCCCCTGGAAACCCCTTCGCCGCTCGACCTCCTCTCCTCTCTGACCCCTAACCCCCCTCCCCCCATCATTGCACAGCTGAACGCCGCCGACGAGCGCTCCTGCACCGCCCTCCTGCACGCCTGCAAGTCCGGCAACGTGGAGGCGGCCCTGGCCCTGGTGGAGACGAGCGGCGTCGACCTGGAGCTAAGGGACGACCAGGGGATGACGGCGCTCATGTGGTCCTCCATGCTGGGCTTCAGGGTCATCGTCGTCGCCCTCTTGCAGGTGAGGGGATACGGGCCTCTGTAGGTGAGGGGATACGGGCCTCTGTATTTTTTCTCATCTTTCGTATCTCCTAATTTGTTTACTTTTTCTTACTTCTTTTTTGTCATTTCATTCGTTCTTCTATTTACTTCTTGTTACATTTTTTTTGTCTCTTAATTCGTTCACCAATTTAGTTTTACTATTTTTGAAATATTTCTTTCGTGAGTGCGGAAAAAGTCAGTTTAATTTCTCAGGTATTCATAGGTATTTTTTTCTCTTCATTTGCTCATATGTTTGTTTTTTTTTTATATTTTTTAAATTCATCACGTGATTTATTTATTTATTATTATTTTTATATATCTTCATTAATTCATCTCTTTGCTTTTTACGAAGCTAATAAAAAGAAAAAAATCGCGGCTGAGGATAAATATTCTCCTTTGTCTCTTAGGAGATTTATTCCTTTTTTTTCTTATTCCTTCTTTCATTATTCTATTCACTCTTTCGTTTATTTGCTGGAGCGAATTTCTCTTAAAATCTCAGCTGATTATCATTCGTATTAATCATTTCAATTTTGGATTGAGATGTTGAATCAGCTGGTTCTTGACGAATAATTAAAACAATAAATACAGATGGTTAAATATACACAAATGAATAGATGAAAATAGAGATAGAAACAGATGAATAAATGAGAATAAACACAGACAAACAAATAAATACGTGACTGAATGATATATTCGACCTCCTCACACAAATAAAATCCAAAGCAAAAATAAAGACGGATAAATCGATAGATAGATGGATGGATAGATAGATAGATGGATAGATAGATAGATAGGATAGATAGATAGATAGATAGATAGATAGATAGATAGATAGATAGATAGATAGATAGATAGATAGATAGATAGATAGATAGATAGATAGATAGATAGATAGATAGATAGGTAGATAGATAGTTAAGTAAATAGATAGATAGATAGATACATAGATAGATAGATAGATAGATAGATGGATAGATATATAGATAGTTAGGTAGATAGATATACAGATAGATAAACAAATAGACAGATAGACAAATAGATAGGTAGGTAGGTAGGTAGATAGATAGATATATAGATAGATAGATAGACAGAAAGACAGAGAGACAGACAGGCTGGCAGAGAGACGGACAGACAAATAAACAGTCAAATAGCGGCATGTTATGATACATAATACATTTATACAATATATGATACACAATCCAATCCAATAATCATGTGGATGAATGATTTCATTGATAAATTCCCAAAGGAATGAATGAATGGGGGGGATTCAGAAGGCAAAGTAACATAGACTCCCTCATCCTCTCCCTCACTCCAGCCTCTCCCCACTCCCTCCTTCTCCGCCTCTCCTTCCCTCCTCCTTGTACTTCCTTTTCTTATCCTCCACGCACAAATGTCGTGCCATGAGATAAGCGCATTTGGTCATTTTATTTGTCACAGCAAAGGATATCCACTGCAACACATGCACTTGAAACTAACTGCCGGTTTGTTAGAATTGTGCGAGGCCCGACCCAAAGAATATTCGTATACTTGACATGCATAAACAAAGAAATAAATGCATATTTATCAGTCTAGACGAGCAAATAGATAGTTAAATGTATATCTATCAGATATATAGACAGATATGCCTTTATTTCTACGTCTGTACTTATGAAAGTTCATTGGGTCGGGCCTGGCACAATTTTAACAAACCGGCCGTAAATCTTTAAATCTTCAATCCTCCTCCCCCTCTTCCCCCTCCTCCTTCGTCGCCTCCCGCAGGTCAAATCCCTGGAGGTGAACGCCCTCACCCCCGACGGCCTCTCCGCCCTGGGCCTGGCGTGCGAGGCGGGCCAGGTGGACGTCGTGCAGCAGCTGGCGACCCACCCGGCGGTGGACGTCAACGCGACCAACTCCGGACGGACGCCCCTCGTCGCGGCACTCGAGGTACGTCTGTCTGCTTGGTCATCAATCAATCAATCAAACAATCTATCTATTTATGTATCTATCTATTTATCAATATATCTATCTCTCTATCTGCGCATCATAAAAATCAGCTGATTTCCTCCCTCCCCCAGCGCGCCCAACACGAGTGCGTGCGCGTCCTGCTGCAGCACCCCGCCCACTCCCTGTCGCGGGCGGGCGTCAGGCCCCCCTACCTGCCCCCCAACCTCAAGGCGATGGTCAACCTCTACCGAAACAACAGCCAGGTGAGGAATCGGGTTTATGTTTTTTTTTTTTTTATTTCATTGTTTGTGCGTTATACGTCTCGTGTTGTAGTGGTTTCTGCGGTGTTTAGTGTGATATTTCTCTCTCTTTTTATCAGGATCTTTACAGTCGATCGTCCACACACACACTGATTGACACACAAAACTTGGCAAAGACATAATCAAGATGAACAAGACACACACACACACACACACACACACACACACACACACACACACACACACACACACACACACACACACACACACACACACACACACACACACACACACACACACACAC